ATTTGAATAAACAAAATGTAAGTACCACAAAGAACTCTAAATGGTTAATGAATTTAAGATTCTTGAACAATAAAAAAGTGAACCATCCACAATGATATATAAATTACAAAGCCATTAATCAGACAATAATCAAATGAATCTTGTGTTGAAATACAGATAATATCTATTTGTTTTGTTATTAAAAGAGTATAGGTTCATAATTGAAACATGATAATTGCCAAATATTAAATTAATAGAATAAGAAAAATAACATTATCAAACACCCATTTGTTTGAACAAGTAAATTCCTCTTAATTTTTAATAAGTATTGATGAGTTAGTAGCCTTTTATTTTCATATTTTGTTACATTATTTATCAAACATGATTGTTATGATGAATGTTTACTAACAAACAACATCCACTATGTATATTAACACTTACTATGAAAAATAATGTTATTTATTCTACTTTTTCTTCAAACCACCATTTTAATTCATAGACTGATAAAAATAAAAAATTCGATAAAATGGAATGGTTTATTTGACATTTTGTTGTTTAAGAGATGAAACATTTTCTAATAGATATGTTTTGATGATGAAACTACTTCTTGTGAGACAGTTCTTCAATTGAAAATAGTATAACTTAAATAAGATATTCAATAAACGAGATATTTTAAAGGATAGAATTTGTATTTAAAGAAGAATAAATTTTAAGGATAATATAATTTCTATTATAGTTCATACTCATTACATTATTTATTACTTAAATTACTTTTTATTATTTATTTTCTTCTGGTTCTTCAAACATTACTTTTATGTTCATTATAGTGTATATTTCAATTACTCTTTTTTGTTTTAATCAATTCAGTATAACATTATTATTCATTTATATGTATTGTAATATTTCAGTATGTTTTATCAAGTTTATGATAATCTAATTCTTATAACGAAATATTTATCTTTCTATTCTTTGTAACAAAATCATTTAATGTAATATTCAAGATAATATTTAAATTGTGATTAATCTTTCAGTATTAAGACAGTAATGTATGTTAAAATAATCATCAATAAAAGAAAATGGTTTATTTTATAATGTTAAGTTTCTCATTAGAGATTTATTAATTATTTGTGAATTTCATACCAAAAGTATTAAAACTCAACTCAAAGAAACATATAATAAATGTTCTGATAAAACACGTTCACTTTCAATAATGTATATTGTCTTCATTAAATTAACGAATTAAGTTTCAAGATGTTATGTACATTACAACAATTATTGATTTTGATATTAATGAGAAAGATAAAATGATTAATAAAACTGGTTGGTAGAATGTTAATTGTATTATTTTGTTTATTATTAGAAATTAGAATTATTTTCTCATTATTATCAAGTTGATTGTCATTTTCATATAAATAAATAATGTCATTTTATCTTAATTTATGATTTATTATTTGAAACTTATGCTAATAATTGATATTTAATAATACTCATGACTTTGGAGAATATTCTTGTAATTTCATTGGTAAGATAATTGCCATTACTCTTTTTTTAAATGGCATTGAATTTTATTACATAATAGAAATAGAATATGTTAAATACAAACTAAATGATTGATTTCTTTTTTGTATTTAATAAGGGTGTTTCTATTGATGCATTCACTTTCAATAGAACGAACCCAAATATCTACTTGGTTAACAGAATCATAACATGAATATTCAAAAGAGTGTAAAGAAATATTAGATTTTTATAAGAATAGACTCAAAATCTACACTTTTCCACAAGAAGTTTCAAGACAGATTTTGTGTTTCAGTCATACACTATCAATGCTTAAATTCAAAAACAGAAAGTGTTTGTATGAAGACAGTTGAAAATGACGAAAGAAGTGATATGAATAGAGATGATGATAAGGAGAAAGTTTAAATAGAGAAGGAAGAGATGAACAAGAAGAGAAATAAGAAAGATATAAATAGAGAAGAACTTAGAAAAGAAAAGAGAGATGAAGACTAAAAATAAAAATAGGTTTTGATAGGAGGAGAGATGAAAAAGAAGAAGAAGAGAAGTAGAAAAAAACAGAACTCAACTAAGAAATAAACAATAATATGTCAGTTAAAACAGGATGGGGAATAAAAGAAGGAGGTAGTTGGAAAACATGGAAAAGAAGGATGTTTAAACTAAGTGAAGGGAAAATAGAATATTTTAAAGATGAAGGGATGACAAAAAAAATGGGAGATATTGAATTAAGTAACGTCACACATGTACTTGCAGTGGACCAATATAAAAAACGAAAAAATTTAATAAGAATTATTACACCATCAAGAACATATCATATTAGTGTAAATGAAGAAAGTGATAGAGACTCATGGGTAGAAGCAATAAGAGGAAAGATTGGAGAGAAGAAAGAGAAGAAGATAGAAGAAGAAAAAGAAGAAAGTAAAATAAGTATGGAAGATTTTGATATTATAACATTATTAGGGAAAGGAGCATTTGGAAAAGTTATGTTAGTTAAATATAAAAAAGAAGGAAAAATATATGCAATGAAAACAGTTGAAAAAGCACAAATAATTGATAGTAATGAAGTAGAACATATATTATCAGAAAAAGTAGTATTATCACAAATTAATAATCCATTTCTTGTTAATATGCATTATTCATTTCAAACGCCAACACATCTTGTATTTATTTTAGATTATTGTGCAGGAGGAGAATTATTTAGTTATTTACAAAAACATTCAGCAGGATTACCAGAAGTTGATGTAAAATTTTATGCAGCACAAATAGTATTAGCATTAGAACATATGCATAGTACAGGAATTATTTATCGAGATATTAAACCAGAAAATATTCTTTTTGAAAAAGATGGATATTTACGAATGACAGATTTTGGATTAGCAAAAAGTACAAAAAAAGGTACTACAAACACATTTTGTGGAACACCAGAATATCTTGCACCAGAAGTTGTTGAAGGATTAGATTATAATGAATATATTGATTGGTGGGGATTAGGTATTTTAATATATGAAATGTTATTTACACAATCACCGTTTTTAGCTGAAACAATGGAAGAATTATATGAAAATATTTTACAAAGAGAACCAAAATATCCATCAACAAAACCAATCACAGAAGAATGTATGAATTTTATTAATAGTTTATTAATTAAAGAACCATCAAAAAGATTAACTGATCCTGATCAAATTAAAACACATCCATGGTTTAATGGATTTAATTTTGATGACTTATATAAGAAAAAATTAACACCACCATATGTTCCAAAAATTCAATCACAAACTGACACATCAAATTTTGATGAAGAAATTACACAAGAAGAAGTTGATTTAAAAACAGGAGTTGAGGTTGTTGCTGACAATAGATTTTTTACAGATTTTACTTACGTACAAAAATAAAGATACCACGTAATGTGAAAATAAAAGTTTCAAACATTTTTAAATATTATTTGTTTTAAATTAAAACTAACATAAAATAAATAATATAATTTCACTTCATCATTTATTTTTTATTTTTACTTTTTCTTCTTTAGTAAAATAATACAATTAATAAAATAACAGTAATAATAATATTGATTTTATTACTTGAACATAATAATGTACAATCCAATGACAATGAAAATCCTGATGCTCTCGAACATTGTAAATAATTATTACAATTAACTATACATTGACTATTATCATTATTAGATATAATTGTATTTGATGTACATTCAGGATATACAATACTACATGATGTTAAATATGCCATAAATGGACAATATGGTGATTTTAATAACAATTCTTGCTGAAGTTCTCTTGCTAATGCATCGTTCAATGCCATTTCATATTTTGTATTTGAATAAATTGGATAATGAGGTGATGGACAATAGCCAAATGTTTTTGATGTAGTTGTTATTTGAGAACATGTATTATCAGGAATACATTTAGCAAATGAGTCAGTTAATTGTTCACATTTGTGAGTACATGAATAATAATGTTGTAATCCATTTCTATGACATACTGTTATTCCATTAAGGTATGTTCCATCATTATTTTCTTTTAATTCACAAAAACTACCTGGATATCCATAAAAACATGAAGATGTTCCTGAACATGTTGTTTTAAAAGGAGTTGTTTGATTACAACCTAAAGGACATGTGATAGAATAAATTTGATCTCCATTACTACATTTAATTAAATTATTTCTGTCACAATAAAATCCATCTTCTTCTTTTAAATCACAATAAGAACCATTAATATGTGATATAATCAATAAAACAAGAATATAATAGTTTCTATTCATATTGTTTATTCCTCGTTCTATTTACATTTCTTATTTATATAGGAAGTTTCTTTAAATAAATTTGTCTTTTCAGTTTAACATATAATAAAGAAATTCTTTAGTTAAATTAATTTATAAAGAAAGAGTAATTAAATAAAACATATGAATTAGTTTGTAAGTAAAATACTTTCTAAATTATAGAAGTCAATAATATTTTTAACCATCATATAATTATTTAACATTTCTTTTGGTCTACAAACTAATGCCCATTTCATTCCTACACTAACAAAGTCCTTCCATTTTCTTTCTTTATCTCTTTTAAATGAATTACAAATCCATTCTCCCATAATTATAAATAATTCTCCTAAGATTCTTCCACACTCATCATACATTCCAAAATATTTTAATCCATCACCTAAATCCCCTCCACAACAAAGAATATTTCCTAATTTTTTTGCACATTCTTTATATACCATTCCTTCTTTATTTATCATTTTATTTGGATGAAACCAATTATTATCTTCTCTTTGATAATAAAAATATTCAAGAAATTCAATATAACTTTCTATTGCCTCTTTTTTTTCTTCATTTCCATTGATTTCATAATATCCTTCTTTTTCTTTACTATTCATTTCTATATATTCAAGAATTCCTCCTGAAAATTGATTAATTTGATTTAATTTTTGTTCATATTCAATAACCCCTCCATTAATTTTAATCCGTTTTCTTGGTGTTTCAAAGATATTATTATACCATTCTTCTAGTTGTGTATTATTCATCTTATTATTCTTTTCTCTCTTTTCTTTATTTTTAATAGTTCTTCTTGTTTAAAAATTATTTCAATTTCAAGTTTAATTAAAAGTATCAATTTATTTTCTTTTTTAAGCAAAATATGTTAAACTCTTCTTTTTCTTGCTTTGAACTTCTAATATTCCTTGTTGGAAATCTTCATGTCGAATTTCTAATGCTTCTCTCCTTAATGCAATCATTCCAGCTTCAACACAAACTGCCTTTAATTGCGCTCCATTAAAATCTTGTGTAGAACGTGCAAGTTCTTCAAAATTAATATCATCACTACACTTTAATTTTTTACTATGGATTTGTAAAATATGAACTCTTGCTTCTTCATTTGGTGTTGGAAACTCTATCTTTCTATCAAATCTTCCTGACCGTAAGAGTGCTGGATCTAAAACATCAATTCGATTTGTTGCAGCAATAACTCTGACATCATCCGTTTTACTAAACCCATCTAATTGGTTTAATAATTCTAACATTGTTCTTTGAATTTCTCTATCTCCACTATGTTCACTTTCTGTTCTTTTTGTACCAATTGCATCTATTTCATCAATAAAAATAATTGCTGGTGCTTTTGATTTAGCAAGCTCAAACATCTCTCTAATGATTCTTGACCCATCTCCAATACTTGATGAAACAAGTTGTGGTGCTGCTAATTTTAAAAATGTACTTTTTGTTTGTGCTGCACATGCCCTTGCCATTAATGTTTTTCCTGTTCCTGGTGGTCCATATAAAAGAACTCCTTTTGGTGTTTGAATCCCAAGCTTTTCAAATTTCTCTTTTTGTGTCATAGGTAAAACAATAGCTTCAATCATTTCTTTCATTTCTTTATCTAATCCTCCTACATCATTATATGTTTCTGTTGGTCTTTCAATGACTTCCATCGACTTAACTCTTCCATCATATTGTTGTGGTAATTTTTCTAATATTAAATATGTATCTTTATTAACTCCAACAAGATCTCCTGGTTTAAGTTCTTTGACATTAACAAGTCCTGACACTGGAAGAAATACATTAGATCTCATCGACGTATTAATAACAACTCCTTTTGTTCCTACATTTCCTTTATTATCTAATCCTGACCCATCATCACTTTCTTCTGGTGGCAAGTCTAATATCTCAACTACATTTGATATTAAAAATGGTAATTTTGCAAACATCTCTATCTTTTCTTTACTTTCTTTATTTTGTTTATTAATAACTGCAAGCTCTTGTCGAATTCTTTCATGTTCATGTCTAATAACTCCTTCTTGTCTTTCCATTTGTTTAATTTGTTGTTTAATTTCTTCATTACTAAGTGAAAGAACATCTGCTTCATTTAATGTAATCATTTCTTCTTCAGTGAAACCTTCCATGTATTATATTATTTCTTGAATTTTAAAGTTCTATCTCACTTATTATGAAAAGTAATATCTCTTCATTCTATTTCTTTTTCTTTTTTCTTGCCTTCTTTTCTTTTTTATATTCACATACTTCATTTCTTATTTTTTCCTTTTTTCTTGTTTCTACTTTTTTTGGAAAAGGGTTTTTTATTTCTTTTAATGAGTATTATTTCTATCTTTTATGTTCCTTGTTGTAAACTCCAAATCAATACTTACCCATTATGCAAGACAACTTGACCGATACACTTAGTATTTCAAATCCATATTTTGTTGTTAAAAAAAATGGGGTTGAAGTACATTATGATGGAAAGACAAAAGAATTTACAGATGGAGTGGATTGTTTTAAATGTGAAGCACTTGAATTACTTTTAATTCAAAAAGAAAATGGGATAGAAGTAATTAATTATTCATTTGAAACATTATATGAAATAGAAATCCAATATATACAAAATATTAGTGTTACAAAAGAGTTTTTACATATTTTTCAAATGCCACCAGCAAGTAATATAAAAGGATATGTCAAAGAAGCGTCAATGTATTATTTAATTGAAATACAAAGAAAAAGCTATAATATAGGATTTAGTAGAAGAATTAATGGTACACCAATAAGTTGGCCATTAACTACAATTAAAAATAATATTATTGGGATTATTGAAGGGAATGGAGTGACATATTATAAGTATGAAGAAGATAAAATATGTAGAACATTTTCAAAAGAAAATTTAATTAATACAAAAAGTATTGATAGAGATGAGTTTATAGGAGGAAAAACAATTGAATTTAGTCCATATGATTCTGGACTTGTTTTTGGTATTTTCTTTCCAGAAAGAAATAGATTTCCAGGAGTAATTGATTTATATAGAAAAGAAATTGGAAAACCATGTAAACTTATTAATACAATATCAGTATTAAATGGTACAAGTGTTCTTTTTAATTGGTGTAAAAAAGGACATATTTTATTAGCTACAACATCAACAGACTTTGATGAAACAGGACATAATTATTATGGAACTAGTATGTTACATTGTTTATATATTTCAGAAAATTCTAATAGTAATGTAATTGAAAGTAAATTAGATAAAACATTATATAAAACACCTACAAATAATGTATTTACTCAAACTCTTATTCAAACTCAAGTTCAAGATGTTTCATTTGATCCTACTGGGAATTTTTTGGGTATTTTATATGGAACACAACCATCTAAATTAGTAATATTTGATACTTCAAATATGAATCAAATTTTTTCTATTCAAAGTTGTTTCTTTAATACAATTTCATTTTCTTATAATAGTCAATTTCTTGCTATTGCTGGATTTGGTAATCTTCCTGGTGATGTTGAAATTTATGATACAAAAGACTTTAAACGTGTATGTAAATTTGCTTCTCAATGTACTACTGAGTGGACTTGGAGTAATGACAATGCCTCTATTATTTGTGGTCATTGTTTACCAAGAAGACATTTTGATAATAGAATAGAAAGATTTGGAATTGATGGAAGAAAAATAGAACGAAGAGATGTCTTAGTAAAACACATTACCATGTTTGGTATTCCTTCAACTAAAGATGTTGTGTTTAAATACATTGAATATAATGAAGAAAATGAAATTTTTAAAGTAGCAAAAAAAAGAGTCAATTAATTAATTTTTTTCTTCTTTTTCATTATTTAAATTATTACATTTTTTATTGAATTACTTTTGTATTTATTTTATTTTTTCTTTATAATTATCTGTTATTCTTCTCCCATTGCTTCAGGAATTAATCGTGTAATTCCATCTATTGGCTTTTTCCCTTCATCTCCATTCCCATCATTATCTTCATCTGAATGATCATCATGTTGATGAAAATCTTTCAAATCTATTTCATAATGAAGTCGTGTTTGGTGTGGTGTTTTTCCTGCTAAGTGTTGACTTATTTCAATCCATTTCTTTCCTATTTCTTTTACCATCTTTAATATAATTATGTCATCTTCAAATGTAAATCCACTTCCATCTATTGTTGGATCAAGATGATTATAATATCGTTTTTTACATTCTTTAATACTTCTTGTCATTACTGTACTTTGTATTGCTATCCAATTATCTGTTCCAAATTCTTGTACTGCTTTGATTAATCTTGCATCTTCTTCTTCTTTCCATGCAACTTTTTTCTTTTTTATTCCTTTCATTTCTGTTTCTTCCTTCATTGGTGGTTTTATCCCTTTGCTTGTCATCAATGCTTTTGTGAGTTTCTTTTTTAAGTTTTAGTTATTTACACTTCTCCTTCTATTTCTTTATCTCTTTCTTTATTTCTTCTTCTTATCTTTGAACCTCTTCTTATCTTCTTTTTATATGATTTTTTTCTCATCTTTTCATTAAAAACATAAATCCATTCTTCTCCAATTACTTTAGTATTATTCTTTCTGTGTTTTTCTGATTTTTTCTAACAATTGATGATTTGTATGTTTCTTATGAATTGTTATTTGTTCTTGACTTTTTGTTTAAATAATTTAACTCAAATCAATTATTCTCTTTTTTGTTAAGAGGCTTTTGTTATAATTTGTTTAACTTGGTTATTTCTCAAATAATTCATTGTTTTATCAAAATAAAACTTAAAATTATTTGGTAATTTGTTTTGATATGTATTGTATTTCTAAGACATTTTCTTCTTCATTTATTTTATTCTGTTTCTAAACCATGAGTGTAAATTTAATGTATTATCTTAGCAATTCGTCAATCATACCTTATTCATTGACTGACTATATCCTTTGTTATGTCAATGAATATTAGCTGACTTCACTTTTACTACTTTATCAAAATTACTTATTTTATTTATTCATTCATTTTTCAAGTCATGTAATCTTATTTTCTCATATCTTCTTAAAAT